AAAAAAAAAAAGCGCGATTGCATGTAATCATGAACACCTGATACTCCTTTTTAAGGTTGCTTTCCCATTCTCAAACGCAAGATCGAGTGATCTATTTTCGAGAGCATGCCTCTAATTTCAAGGTTACCTAGATGGATGCAAAAATAGTTTCTATTGAAGAACCAACCCGTAGAACTTATCGTTCGTATTTCTCTTACTTGATCTGGCTTTTTTTCTGACCATTAAGTTCCAATTATGATGACATTATTAGGAGTTCGGGGTACAGAGATGATTTGGAAAAGAAACCTTCACACGTGGAATTGATTGGCGTTCAAGCCACAGCAGGAATGGTGGCCGGTGCCTGTTCTTCAGTGATCACTACCCCAATCGATACTGTCAAGACTCGACTTCAGGTGATGAAATTCGAAATGCAAATAAAAATTTACAAATTATTGGAAAAGATGAAACCGCGTGTTGATGTTGGTATTTTGGTTCATAATTATCGCAGGTTATTGATGATTATGGTGTAGGAAGACCTTCCGTGATGAAGACGACAAGAGCTCTTCTTAAGGAGGAAGGGTGGAGAGGGTTCTACCGTGGGTTTGGCCCTCGATTTCTAAACATGTCTTTTTACGGAACTACGATGATCGTGACCTATGAACTAATAAGTACGTATTTCAGCCTCCTGTCACATTCTATCAGTAACTAGTGCCATTTAGTTTTTATCATAGCCAGTCGAACCTATTCTGCTCCAGTTTCTAGTAACATATTATTTGCAGCACTAATTAAACTGTTGTTATGGTTTATGTTTTTCAGAGAGGTTGTCTTTAAAGCAAGGGTGATTGGCCCGTAAAATTGTGGTTTCTGTGAGGACTCGACTCGGATTTTCGTCTAATTTTAGCAACTTATATTTATCGGCAACTTTTTCCTGCTATGCGGTCAGAGGCAGCACACTAAAGACTATGAAATAGTGAAAATTGGAAAAGGTTGCAATTGGAAGGCACTTAGTTTATTATTGATTCATTGCTTTACTAATTGGAGGGGGAAAAACAGAGGCAGCATGTCTTATTATTCTTTCTTTAACGTTTTGTAATTTATTGGAAAAAGCTAGTTAATTTTGAATAAAAGTTAAATATATTTTGTAGCCAATAAAATTCAAGAAAATGATATCATAAAACTTCTTTTGCCGGATAAGTATTTTCAGTAAAAATATAAAAGTAGAAAAAGAATTGGTTTTTCAGAAAAGTTAGCAAAATAATTATATGAAAAATATGTATACATAAGACTATTTTCTTGGGAAAAAAGAAAAATGCTAGCAATACATCGATGAAGTTTCAGTTCTTTCATGAGTTGTGGGAAACGGTAATTTTCATCGACTTATTATTGGCGACTAGGAACTTTGATTTACGGTCGTTGGGTTGTTTGGAGGATGTCACCTGTCCAATGGGTTGAAGAGCCTTCTAATCACAGAACTTTCAAGTTATGGTGGCGGAAGATTTGTGATGTTGGGAAGGATATCATGTGTGAAGAGAGGATTGAACTAACCACCTACATTTTATGGTGGTTATGGAAATCGTGTAGCCTTTGGAAATTTAAGGGAGAATGGATGCCAGAGACTATGGTGGTGAAGGCTGCCTATTATGACTGGCTTGAGTTTGATGTTAGCAGAGGAGCGGGAATAGTTGTAGCTTTTAGGTCCTTTGTTCAGTTGTAGCTTTTTCTTGTTGTATCATATGATTTCCTGTTTCTCTCATTCTTTATTTTATCTCTAGAGGTCCCAGAATTCAACTGCCTCTAGATGATTGGTTGTTTTCTTTGTTGTTGGACTAAGTTGTTAGTCTTGTGGTTTTGAGCTCTCTTTGTAGTGCTTGTGTTTAGTTGTTTGGGGACTGAATTTGAGCTATTTAGCTTCCGGCTTGTACATTTCGTTTTCGATTTGAATTGAATGAATTTCCTATCGTTTCA